AGCTGGATCAGGGGAGAGGAACCCCTCTACCGGGAAACTATGTACTGTGGAAATCCTTTACCGGGAAAGTATCTCCTGTGGAAGCCCTCTACCGGGAAACTATGTACTGTGGAAGCCCTCTACCGGGAAACTATATCCTGTGGAAATCCTCTACCGGGAAACTGTCTACTGAGATTTGAAGCAATAATCCTTAACAGTGACTCTAAGAAGGGAGGGTCACAATGAACATATGGCACAACTTCAAAAAGTTTGTGGAGGGGCCAGCAAATGGCATAATGGTTGCATTGCTGGACTCCCATGTAGTCGACCACGAATCAAGTCCCGGACCCAGTGGCTTAAAACTCATGCTAGGAGCATGTACATGTGTGCCCAAAATCCCAAGAGGAGAATGGAGGAAAAAGGATTGTAGCATGGCCATCCCCCCCCCCAGGGGGGGAGTGATTTCTCACTTTCTGTTTCTGTCTCTGTCTCTCCAGTGAGTGCACATGCTCTATAGCAAAAATCCTTAAACAAAAAAATTCTGTGGAAAAATGGAATTAAAGTAAAAGTTTTTTGGGTGTAGAATTATTTTTTATTTTTTAATTTTATTTTTATGCTTACATGTTTTACATTTATTTATTTATTTTGCTATAGGGCACATGTGTTTGCCAGAGAGAGACAGAGACAGACATGAAGAGAGGGAAACTAAGAAATCACCTCCCCAGAGGGGATGGCCACACCACAGTACCTTCTCTTCCATTTTCCTCTCAGGATTTTGGGTATGCATGTACACATGTTCAGTATGATTTTCAAGCTGCTGGGTCTGGAACTCAAACTACAGAGTTAGCCTTGTGGAATCCAGCCACCTTAACCATCAGACCAGCTGCTGCCTAATCCCCCTCATTTTTTTTTTTAAATGATAATGGGTATTTAGAATACATGAGATCCCTGATCTTCTCTAGTGGAAAGAGCATTTGAGATGTGGTTGATGGTAAACTACACAGTCTGTGGTTGCCTGCTGCAAGAATTGTGTAAGATTTATTAGGGGAAGCAGGGAAACATGGCAAAAGTTAGGACAAAGAAACCTATCAGTGGGTCAAAACTCCCTTTGGTTAGCCTGCTAACAACTGGACCTGTTAAGTGGGCATCATTCTTTAGAAAAAGGAATTGTTGCTGATTGTATATAATATATTATGGAAGAATAATAATTGTAGCTGCTATAATTTTTTCCTGTTAGTATTGCAGTGGAGGAGCACACTAACACAAGAAAAAACAATAAATGAACCAGGGTAAAAGATGGGGAGAATATCACAAATGGGCCTTTATTTGGGACAGTGAAAGGAAACGGGGGTGTAGAAATTTAAAAGTTTTGCAAGATACATATAAAAGTGGGACAATATTGAGTGGGCAATATTGATTGAGATTTATTTTGTTATATCAGAGGATAGAAATATATCGGGAATTTTAATAGAAGTAGATCATCAAGACAATGGTATCAGAGAATGTGTCTAACTTACTACAATGCTATAGAGATGCAGACAAAACAAAGATGGAAAGGTGGCAAAATATTTATATTCTTGAGAGCATAGGAAGCAATTAAGTTAAGGACATAAATAGAGCCTGATCCGGGGGATTAGAGGGTCCAGTGGCAGCTACTGCCTACTCCCAGCACCTTGGTGTCTGGTACTTGATCCCCAAGCTGATACAGTAAACAGTATGTGATCTACTCAATCCTACCTCGAGAAAGTGTATGAGGAAAGTTGGGGATGGATTTGTAATACAGATGAAAATAAGGTGTACAGAAAGTCATTGCAGTTGGGTTCAATTAAGTTAACTTTAATCTACATTCTTTTTTAAAAATAAATTTTAGAGAAATTTTTGCTATAGGGTGCGTGCGTTTGCCAGAGAGACAGAGAGAGACAAGAGACAGAAAGCAAAAAATCACTCCCCAGGGGAAACTGCAATGACTTTTTCTCCATTCTCCTCTCAGGATCTTGGGCACACATGCATGTGAGCCCAGTTTGAGTTTTAAGCCACCAGGTTCAGGACTCAAACTGTGGTCAATTCTGCAGGAGTCCAGCAATATAAGCAATATGCCATCTATGGGGCCTTAGCCTACACTCTTATGAGAGTTTCTGGATGTTGTGTCTTGCTCCTTCTGCTGTCTCTGGCGACAGTCAGATAGGTAGTGAACCAGGTAGTTGTCTATTCTCATTAACTCCTCTATTCTGTTCACTGGCATCACTGCCTGGCCTGGGAAAATAAGTCATCACCCTCTACATGAGCCCTGTACAGATTTATCCTGCTGACCTTCCTGCTATTTATTGGGTCCTCAGAAAATGCTATTTATTGGGTCATCAGAAAAGTCATGATGTATTTTTCTATGTTGTTCTATGCAAAAATGCAGCGTGACTTACCCGACCACCCAGTAGATAATTCCTTTTCTTACGATTGCCAAAAGAGATAGGCCCATCCAGAGAAGGGAGGAAAACAGGAGTCAATCATTTGAAGAAAATAAACAAGAATTGATCTTACTCACTCTCATTAGGGGAGTACTTGAAATTGGCTTCCACCACTCTGTGGTTCAATGGCTGGGTCCTGCGGTAATCATTGTGGAGGGTCTTGTTCTCATGATCCAATAAGGAATTCTCTAACATCAAAGCCTGCAAGCAACATCAAGTGAATTATGGAAGGGAAAAGACACTGGGTAATTTAAGAGTTTAGTTAGCAATTGAACTAGAGCTTGGATTTATGTAACACGGAGAAGGTGGGGATTATATAAATAAATTACATAAGTAGAGTTATATAACCCTATAAAGAGGGTCTAGAGGAGGTTCTGGGAGTTATATACCAGGTAATATTCCAGATCTCATTTATCCATCACTTCTTCCTTCCAACAAGTATTTGCATACCCATCAACTTTTTCAGTTTCTTTTTTTTTTTTCTGTATTTGATCAATAGTAGACAGAGAAAGAAGTAAACAGAAGCATATCAAATGGCAAACTCAATTTTTGTTTTTCTAAAAATGTCTGGCTTTTTTTTTTTTTTTTTTTTTTTTGTCTATATCCTTGAAAGATATTTTTGCTGCATGTACTTTTAGGTTGGCTATTCATTTCCTCAGTACTTCAAAAATATGATTCCACTGCCTTGACTTTCACTGTTGCTGTGTTGAATCAACTATTGATCCTCTTGTAACTCTTCATAATAATCTGTCTTTTCTCTCAGGCTGTTTTTTAAATATTCTCTTTTTCATTGATGTTTTATAGTTTCTCTGTGACATGTTTAGTACAAGTTTTGTTTTGTTTTTAATTGACTCATTGGTTTTATTGAATATATGACTTGGTGGCTTTTGATTCTTCTGGAAAATTGTCAGCCCATATTTCCTCAAATTTTGTCTTTCTTCTCCCTCTAGAATTTCAATTAAATATTTGTTAGAACTTTCCACTATATTCTCTATGTCTCTTTGGCATATTTCATCTCTTTTTCCTTTGGTGTTGTGTTCTAGATCATTCTAGATTATTTTCTCAGCTTCATTTTCCAATTCACTAATTCTCCCTTAAACTATATCTAACATGGTATTAAACCCATTCGTTGCATTGTTATTTTCGGTTACTATTTTTTCATTTGTAAAAATTCGATTTTTTTCAAATCTGGTTGGCCATTTTTATACTTTTGTTTTTCCTTATTTTAAACCTTTGTTTTTCTTTTAGAGCAATTTTTGCTATAGGGCATGTGCACTCACTAGAGAGACAGAGAGACAGAAAGCAAGAAATCACCCCCCAGGGGAGAGGACGGCCATGCTGCAATCCCTTTTCCTCCATTCTCCTCTTGGAATTTTGGGCATATGCACATGCACCTGGGGGAATCCAACAACATAACCATTATACCATCTACTGGCTCCCTCATTTTAAACCTCTTATTTCTTTATACATAGTAAATATTCTTATGTTATATTAATTGTATGATAATTGTACTATCTGAAATCTTTATAGATCTGATTCTCCTGGCTCTCACTCAGTGCCTTCTTTTTTGTATATTTTCAGGATTTTTTTCTTTTTTTAAAATTTACTGTAGGGGTTATGTGGTCATCAGTGAGAAACAAAGAGAGAAAGTGAGAAAGAACCCCTAAACAGGGGAGGGCCACAGCACAATTTCTTCTCCTCCATTCTCTTCTCAAGATTTTGGGCAGACATGCACATATGCCCAGCATGTTTCCCAAGCCACTAGGTCTGGGATTTGAACCATGAACTTTACCATGCATGATCCAGCAACCTTAACCACCACACTACCTCCTGGCCCAGCTTTTTTTTTTTTCAAATTAAGATAATTTCAGGTAGCTGTATTTATGGACATTGTTCTAGATCTGGATTTAAGATCCATTTTCCAGAGATAATTTACATTTCCTTTTGTTAGGTATCTGAGAGGACCTCCAGCCTGGTTAGCAATATTCTGTGTGTGTGTCCTTGAGTAGGGATTTTTTAAAATCTTTTCCTGGAATACTAAAATGAAAACTTTAAGGGAAAAATAAAACTGTTCATGGGCTGGCAGGTGGCGTGGTGGTTAAGGGTGCTGGATTCCCACATGGTCAACTGCAGTTCAAGTCCCAGACCTGCTGGCTTGCTTTCTCCCTTTTTCTCTCTCTCTCTCTGACCCTCTCTGGTCAAATTTAAAAAAAATAAATAAATAAAGTTAAATAAAACAATTCTTTAAAAAATTGTTCATGGGGACCAGCAGTTAGCTTAATGGCTATGTCGCTGGACTCCCATATAGTCGACCACAGTTGGAGTCCCTGACCCGGTGGCTTAAACTCGCGCCAGGCATGTGTGCATGCATGCCTAAGATCCTGAGAAGAGAATGGAGGAGAAGGGATTGTGGCATGGCCATCCCCCTGGGGGGTGATTTCTCACTTTCTGTCTCTCTGTCTCTCTCTGTCTTTCTGGCGAGCGCACATTCCCTATAGCAAAAACCTCTCCAAAAAAAGAAAAAAAAATTGTTCATGAAAAAGAACAAAATACATTACTCAGAAGGAAACATTAACTTTGCCTTGCAACCTCATTAACATTTGTTCATTTATTCAATTAACATTTATTATGTGCCTGTGCTATGCTGAGCAACCAAAAATGACTTACGTACCTCTTCTCCTCAAAGGGCTACAGACATTTTGGCGTGATAACAAGCTATAAATGAAGCAATTCTTTTTGCATAAAAGCACTGAAGAATTAAAATTAAGCTCCACAAGGACAGGGATTTTGTATATCAAGTATCTAGAACAGTGCCTGGTGACAGTGGTACTCAATAAATATTTGCCTTGACTATGCAACTTTTCTATGGATTGGATCAGGCTCCAAGCCACTGCATTAATTGTAAGTCCCTCAGATTTCCTGATGGCTCAGTGTGCCTCTCTCTGCCACAGCACTAGCAAGATGACTTATGGTAATATAAGTGAGGCACAGCACTCTGCACATGGCAAAGGCGACAGGAGTCCCAGGTGTAGGCATTAGATAGGACTGGGGGGTGCACTCTTAGTCAGGCAGCAGAAAGGGGAGACTTTGGTGAAGTGATGCCATGTATTACCTGTGTCCTGGACATCTTAACATAATCTTTTAGCACAAACCACTGGACATTCTGGGTACAGGGAGGAGTGGTAAGTGACCCCTTGTAGCTGTAGTAGTGGTGAAGATCCTCAGGTAACATGTCCTGAACATCAAGGCCAGTCAGAATTGTACTTTGTCCTAACCAAGACGACAGATAAAGGCACATTAGGATTGCAATTGTTCCCACAGGAAGACAGTGTAGGCTCAGACCTTACCACATTTGAATCTCATTTAAGCAGAAGAACACAGAAGTCAATAATTGGGGAAAATTGCTCCAGTTCATTTCTTCTTAGTATTTTTAATTGCCAGAGGGCACATGCACTTGCCAGAGAGAGACGGGAGGTGGGTAGTAGAGAGAAAGCACCACTCAGTAGAGTATGGTCATGCCATAATCCCTTCTCCTCCATTTCTTCATCTTGTTAGGTTTTTGGGCACATACATCCCCAGTCATGTGAGATCTGGCTTAACCACTAGGCTGGTTCCCCAGTATACCTCTTCCTAGGAGGGATTAAGAGCAAAGACCTTGGGGAAAGACACACATAGTTACATCCTCTGGCTGAATGACCGTGCCTAAGTGCCCACTCTAAAGCTGTCTCCTTGCCTGTAAAGGGGGATAATCAATAGGGTTGCAGTGAGGGTGAAGGATAATGTCTATAGAGTGGCTGGCACTGAACCAGCACATGAGGAAAAGTATAGCTGTAATCATCATTGTCTTCATTGTTAGGTAGACAATAAGTCTTATGATTAAAAAAGAAAAAAGAAATGAATTAAGACCCTTAGGTGTTTCTGGATAAGTAAATGCCCTCAAAGGAAGAACAAAATCCCTAGGCTTAGACACATTTAGAAAGTGAGTGGAAAGAGGTTAGAAAAACAAAATGAGAACTGAGTTGGGATCCAGGTGCAGGCATCTGGTCCCGAGCTCTTCCTGCCATGCCCAACAGGAATCAAGCTGAGCCACAGATAAAGTGTAGGCAAAAAGCTTTTCCAAGGATATCTGAAGCCTCTACAATAGCCACACCTACCACTCATCACTGCAACCAGGAAGTTACTTGTACATTCATGTCAATGACTCTGAGCTCTTACACTCAGCATGAGACTGTCAAAGCAGCCTGGAATTGAGTTGGATTTTGCTTCACCTTCACTGAGCACGTTTGCAGTTTTAATGGCAAAAGGATATATATAAATATATACACACATGCATATATATCTATCTATATATATATATAGATAGATAGATAGATAGATAGATAGATATAGAGAGAGAGGCTTATTTGGCCAAGACCTCGAAGTCCTGTAGTGCATAATCCCATGAG